CATCTGCACATTCACAATTCACCACCGACATTTTGTTACTTGCTCAAGAACTTTAACTGACTATGGTTAGGAAAGGTGCAATCTGCAATTAGAAATGACAAGTCCTCTCATATGCACATTGCTTTCTACTTTGATATCATTGAAGAAAAGAAAGGCAATGCAATAAATGCATAATTGAGGTTTATTAAGGATAAAAGGGAAATATTTATGTCTACCAAGATGTTTTAAACAGGCAAATCTTATAGCTCAGACACTGGAGATGCTGGGAAGGTAAGCCCTCTAAAGGTTTCTTCTCTGGGACTTTGTTGGTGTGATCTCTGCTCTTTAAGGACAACTTTACCTCTAGTAAAAAAACGTTTTGCTTAAATCCATGGAAATGAAATAAGCCAAACGACTGGACTGCCCCATCACAACGCATGTTAATGTACTACGCACTGTGCATTACCTATATGTCCTCCCAGAACAGTTTGCCAGCGGACCGAACAGTGGCTGGCCTGCTGGTGCATTGTTCTGGGAGGATATACAGATAATGTGTGTGCACGGCCACTGCAGCCACTGTCCTTAGACATGGAAGAACAGTGGCTTTAGACATGGAGGATCAGACCAGCTCTGTGTCCTGTGATCATCACAAGACAAATGTTTCCATCAGAGGCAAGGGAGAGCAAGGGGAGTAATGAATGTACGAGTCATTCATTCATTCATTACTTACTAGTGAAAACAAGCTGCAGCAGAAAAAAAAAAAATCTAATAATTTTAAGCCTTTTAACCCCCTCTTTTCCTCCTGCTCATTTTAGATGCATTCTATGCTCTGACCTGTATATTAACCCTTTCACCTCCCTTATCCTTCAAATCTATACATTAACCCCTTTATCACAATCCTCCCACTGTACGTGACCTGTAAATTAACCTCTTCACCTCCCTCCATGACCTGTACATTTATTGTATTTTGTGCACTATTAACAAACTCCATGTTTTAACCCCCTCAATACCGCCATGTTTCTGCATTTCCAAAAAAGTGTGGCAGAAAAATCAGCTCACCTTGGAGTGTCTTTCCCAAAGGGGTAATTGTGGGGATTTTCAAACTGTCCTGACATTTTTATTTGCTGTGATTTACAAATAAAAATAAGAGAAGCAGGCTTTTTCAAAATGTTTTGGTCTTTTTTAATTTATATAGTGAAAAATAAATAGTGGTTATTAACTACCAATAAAAGACAGCTCTATTTGTCCCAAGAACTGATATAAATTTTAAAAAATAATAAATTTTGTTATAGTCTTGTGTGACGGAGGAATTCTCAGCCAAACTTGTACAACGCTGAAAAATGAAATATGGCCTGGTAATGAAGGGAGTGTAACATGCCGATTGGGAAGTATTTCTAGCCATCCAGTTCTGGGATTTACACAGCCCTGTCTGGCAGGAGAAGAGACACGATTTTTCTCTAATGCAGTTTAGTGACATTTTAAGGTCTTGGCCCTCGTCCAAGCCAGTGACCAGCCAATGAACAGAGAAGCAGTAGACCGATGAGCTCATCTGCATTCTGCTCCCTCCTCCTTACTGACTGGCTCCTTGTGCTGCTTCTTCCTCCCCCAGGTCTGCTGTATGGGGGAATGCAAGAAGCTGATGCCAGGTCAAATTCAGGCACCTACACAACTTAAATAGAACAAAAACAAACACACATTCATGTATCAATGAACACTGACCTACATTAATTTGTGTCTTATATCCACCTAGAACTCAGTTAAAGGCTGACATTTAATAGGTCTATATCAGGGATGGTCAAACTCCAGGCCCTCCAGCTGTGGTGAAACTACAAATCCCATGATGCATCTCTCTCCGGGAGTCATGTCTGTGGCTGTGAGAATTTTGCAAAGCCTCATGGGATTCGTAGTTCCACCACAGCTGGAGGGCCCCCCCTGGTCCATATTAAGCCTTCCCTGGTTCCTCCTTTTCCCTATGACGTTTTTAAATAATGCCTTTACATTTCCCTGTATACCTTATTTTAGATCCAGTGACAATCACTGGGTATCTGTGCTTCTCTATGTAATGCAGGCGGATCATGATGGGAGGCGCTGCTAGGATGTTGTACATTGCTTCCTGAAAACATCACGGCATCTTGCCTCAGTAGTCAAGAGCCCTGATGCAAGCAGTGGGCTGGCTCTTGGGAGAAGTTATACAAATAATAAAATGTCTTGATGGGTGGAAGTCAATCTGGAGTAGTGGGCATTCCTAGGCAGGACACATTTGCATGCAGACCACCCTAGTAAAACCCACATGTGATGCTGAGCTTCCAGGATTGAAAGAACTGAAAGCCAATAAATGAGAGAGGTGGGCTAGGGACAGTCAGGCTGGGGAGGAAAGAAGTAGACCAGGGGAAGCCAAAATCCAGCTCTCCAGCTGTGGGGAAACCACAAATCCCAGCATTGATCTGGGAGTCATACTTGTGAGTCTTACAATGCCTTATGGGATTTGTAGTTGCAGCACAGCTGCAGGGCCAGAGTTTACCCACCCCAGAACTAGATGATGTAGAACAGGGGTTCCCATTAGGTAGATCATGATCTACCAGTAGCTTTCAAAGCTGATACTGGTAGATCACGAAGGGTGTGAATGGCGGCCCCTTTATTCCATTTTGGTATATTTATTTAGCTGTGCACACATGATTACCTATTAGCCTGAGTCTGCTGCGCCAAGCTCCCCGACCACTTTCTGGTGGATACAGGTGGTTGAAGTGCTATGCATTACATCAAAGAATATTAGTTTCCACAGCCCGTTGCACTACACGGTTTGCAAAATACAGCAGGGTGAGCCAGGAAAGAGAGCGGGGAGAGACAGCCAGGACAGAAGACGAGGAATGAGCAAGGCGAGACAGCCAGGAGGAATGAGCAAGGCGAGACAGCCAGGAGGAATGAGCAAGGAGAGACAGCCAGGAGGATGAACAAGGAGAGAGAGAGAGCGAAGGAGGTTTTTTTTTTTCGATGGTAGATCTCATGTAGCTCGTCATTTGAAAAAGTAATCTTGACACAAAAATTGTGGGCACCCCTGATGTAGAACATCCTCCAGCCAGGAAATGACGTGGGCTCTATCTACATTTCTGCAGCTTCTAATACACACAGGGAGAATCTCGGTGTGTACTGACATCAGAGTAAGTACAAGGAGTTCATACAACTGTACAAGACTAAAGATAAAGCCAGAGTTCCCTTTAGAATGAACTCCATAGGGTGTAGTGTGAAAAGGCAACTTATAATGGTTGCTTCTATGAAGCCTCCAAAATACATATCAGGACCAGATGTGCAGACTGGGTATCCTACGAAAGTACCGGAGAATACCCAACGCAGCAGGGCGGGTGCAGCAGCAACAACGGATGTCTCCGCCAAAACGTACAAAAATAGAAAAAGTCACGGGCACTCCAAGTCAATAAGGTTTTATTGACCCAAGTGATAACACCTCTAAGCAACGTTTCGGGACCATGCGGCCCCTTCCTCAGGCAAACAGGGACACTCTCACACTCTGCTTGCCTGAGGGGCACATGGTCCCGAAACATTGCTTAGAGGTGTTATCACTTGGGTCAATAAAACCTTATTGACTTAATTATTTTGGGAGTGCCAGTGACTTTCTATTTTTGGGTATCATACGAAGCTACAACAGTATGCTAATCCAATCAGAGCCATGTACATTATTTGAAAGTTCCATGGTAGATTCTTCCTGTATCATACAATGTTCTTCTATCCACATCTCCAATTACAGCTCGCTATCAGTCTCTTGCACTGCCAAGTGAAACAGGAGATACAGTTTGGAGAGCCAAGAGCCTGTGTCAAATTAGCATTCAAGTGCTACTCCTGTATGCAGCAAATGCTGTCTGCATATCAAGACAGTGCTTTTAATATGTGCCTATAACAATTCATGTTAGGCCCCATTCACACAAGGCTCTAACATCTTTGTGACGCACACTGCAGGTGATTTGGGAAAGCTGCGGCCACTCAGACTGCACAAAGCAATGACCGGCTGACAGCGCCGTGGCTGCCCGCATGTAATCACACATGGAGTGACCACCCCCAGCTAGAGACAGGCGATCGCCACTAGACACAACCCACCTCACGCCATACACATGACCCTGTTTTCAATGCCGATCATATAAACACGATCAGTGACAACGGGCCCAATGTGTAAACATGGAAAGATGGAGATGTTGTTCATGGTCACCTGATCCCCGCTGTCACATCCTTTCCCAAGTTACAAGACAGAAGCAACCCTTGTATGCATCCGCCAATGATTATACATTTACCATATTTGTAAATATGGATCCTATACTTCAGTAGGTGATTGTACTCTGCCAAAAGCAATAACAAGGACATTTTGATACACACAGCAAATATATTTTACAGCAACATAGTGCAATAGAATGCAAACTGCTGCCATGTATAATCAGTGTAGAGTAGGCCAGGACATGATATAATATTGTGCAGCAAATCTATAGGGCAATCTAGTGATGAACCCGCTGATAGGACCTATAGATTATATACAGGGCCTGTAATTCAGCCAATAAGTGGACTCTGATGAGATAATAAGCACAGTGTTATGGTGGCAGGCTGTGACCAGGCACTGACCATTCTCCCCAGCAAAGAATTGTTCCCATTCATAGTCCACAAGTCATGCAGCATATAATTATCACAATGGCTGTACACTCGTCCCACGAATAAAGCACACAGACACATATAGAGATGTGGGGCCCTCTCTTGCACTCCCTGGGACCATCCCCAGACACAGGATTCAGGCCGCTCGTTCTCTATAGCTTGCTCAAGTACTGCAAGCGCACGGGCCTAGCGCGGCCTGCAGCCTCCTCCCCGCCTTTACTGAGCCCCACTGCCGCTTCTTCAAGCTCCCGCTGCGCTCCCCGGCCAGCGCTGTGCGGGGCGGAGCTGCTGGCAGAGCCCCGGAGCCCGAGCTCCGTGTTGCGGCTGCGCCAGCAGGGCTGAGATAGCTGGAGATTGCGCGGTAGGGCACTCACCTCAGAGCGGCTGCGCTACACCGAGCCTGCGCCGTGACACTCTTGCTGGGACCTCTCTGAGCTGCAATGGCTGCGGGAGCCCACGCTGCACACGGCCTGGGCTGGAGCTGCGTCACCACCGTCATGACGTCACCGACCTCCTGGTGTGCGTACTGTCCGCCTCCAGCAGCCATATTGAGAAGGTATAGTTTTCCGTACAAAGCGGCTTTGACCTCTTTTTCTGCGCTGAACATTTTCTGAGATGCTGTAGCCTAATAAACTGTTATACATAAAGCTGGGCCTAGCTCACAGAACCACAATATTACGGCGGGGTTCCTGCTGCTGGTGTATAAGTCTATATTAAGTAACCGCTGCTGCTCTGGAGGCGGTTCATTTGCCGTCACCATGACAACCGCTGCAACACTGGTATCCTCAGCAACACGGGATGCAGCGAAGAGAACGACTGAAGCAGTGAAAAGTCCCCGGAGAGCTGTGTATGTATGCATCGTATGGAGCAGAGCAATCATTGCAGCCTGCCGCTTTTCTAGCAATCCTGGACTTCGTTAGAATGGAAGTCCAGAAAACTACCGGAACACCGGTCTGATGCTGAATAGCAGAGCCAGAAGTACACTTCATCTGCTCTGGCCTCAGAAGACTGCATGGGAACATTCCTTTGTAATGCAAGTTATCTGCTCTAAAGACAAAAGTCACTTCGTTTTGGATAGAGTGGAAAGGGATTAGAATCCCTGTCAGGTTTTTATTGCTGTCTGCATCCCCGTTAGGGAGATTCACCCTCCTTATTTGTCCGGGGGAAGTCTTCCAATGGGGACAACCAGGGATATCCACACTTGTGGCAATCAGACAGAAAGTGAAGATGGCAAGATACTGACATTGATTATTACATGTGCCCCCCTTACAGATCATATATACAGGTATCCCCCTTACAGAACGAACACACACACACTCCCTTATCCGCAGAACACAGATGTGTATTCATTTTGGCTTTTTTCTTATCCCTGCCGATGTCTTTCTCCTCATTTTCCTTACCTATGTGCCCGTATAACTGTCCCTCTCCTAATCTATGTGCATTCTCTCCATGGTTTTCCTGCTTTTGTTAATACAATTAAAGGGACACTAAACTCAGGAGTTAAATCCTAAAAAATACATTCAAGTACCTTATTGACAAAAATGTATCTTATTTGTGTATCACTCAGCTGTAGACCCTAAAATCATCTCTCAATTGGTGCCGACACTGTCCTTCCTTCTGGAGGGCAGGCCCGGATTCCTCACCAGGCCTCGGGGCGGCAGGGCGCAGAGGGGCGGCAGCGGTGTGGAATCCCCCGATGCCGGGAACATAAAGTTCCGGGCGGTAAGTTGCCTTCTACATTTAGTCCTGCTATGAGATGGCAGGACTAAATCTAGTGTGGAGAAGCCGTTTTTTTGTTTACAGGTGATCCCGGCGAGTCTCTCTTCACTGGCCGCCGATGCAGGGAGCAGAGCGGCAGGGTTAAAACTATCTCTGCCGCTCTGTGTATACAGTGAGAGGGGAGAGCTGTGCTCTTCCCATCTCATCCGTCCCAGGAGTTCCAGCACAGTGCTAGAACTCCTGTATTAGAGGTGACAGGGTCAATAAAGAGAGCCTGTCACCTCCAAAGGCTATCACACAGGGGCTTGTTAGCTAGCTCCTGTGTGATAGCAATAAAGTTAAGTGAAAAAAAAATTAATAAAATAAAAAGATGATTAAAAAATAAGAAATTATAAAAAAAAATAAAAGTAAACGATAAGCTAAAAATGTAAGAAAATAAAATAAAAATGTGATAAAAAAAGTTTAAAAAAATAAAACAATAAAAAAAAATAAAACTAATCCTGCCATCCGGTTGCCATTATCCGTTGGTGGGGGGGGGGGGAGGGTTGGCGGGAAGGGGGGGTGCATTGCGGCACCTGGCCTTGGGGCGGCAGGGAGAATAAATCCGGCCCTTCTGG